CTGTGAGTTGGATCCAACTCTATGGCAGTGAGTTTGGTTTTGGATCAATCAGTCAGGAACCTGGCTGTGCAGTAGTTAAGTAGTTAAGCTGCTAACTGAAAGGTCTGCAGTTCAAACTTATCAGCCACTTTATAGGAGCAAGATGTAGCAGCCTGCTTCCATAAAGATTAGAGCTTTGGGAACCCTACAAAACAGTTCTACTCTGTCCTGTAGGACCACTATGAGTCATTATTGAATGGACAGCAATGGGATGATGATAATCAGTCAGTCAGGGACCCTGGGTGATAAAAATGGTCAACACACTTAGTTGCTAAACAGAAGAAGGGCCTGGTGATCTACTTCTGAAAAATCAACCATTAAAATTCTAATGAACATAGTTCTATCTGACACACATAGGGTCTCCATGAATCAGAGTTGACTCAGTAGTAAAGCTTTTCTCGTTTTTTGTTTTTATATCAGCCAATCATTGGTGAAAGTCTACATGGTAGAGCTAGGAGGAAGCATTGCCCCCAGGAGAGAGCAGTTCTCTGAGTTACCAGCCCACAATGGTGTCAGCTGAAGGACGAGATCACCCACCAGCAGGGAAAATGGACCTGGTTGTGGCATCAGCAGCCTCTGCTACAAGGCCCAAATGATCTGGCTTTGAATCCTGTCTCCACCATATAGCTAATAGCTAAGTGACCCTTGTCAAGTATTTAAGCTTGCTATCCCTCAGGGTCCTTACCTATAAAACTGGGAAAAATAATACTCATCTTTCAAGGTTGTTTTGAGAACTGAAAAATTTATGCATATACCAAACTTGGGCTGGTGCTATTAAAAAGTACTCAATAAATATATATTTAAAAAATGAGTTTTAGTAAGCTAAAACTTACTAAGTGATACTGGCCAGGGTAATTTAAGTTTCTGGATCTCAGTTTTCTCAGTTGCAAAATGGGGCTGACACATAATTCTGAGTGATTTTCAGACTTAACCAAAATAACATTTAAAAAGCTCCCTACATGGTAGAGGCTTACTGATAATTCCATTCTATCTTAAATATGTTTTTCTCTGTGTTGTTGCTTTCAATTTACCTTGTTAATAACACTAAGCATAAACCTATGAAGCTTCAGAAAATCTATTCTTTAGTTCATTGTAATTTAATAACTTACATAGATCTGGTCGATTGGCTACAACAAGAATACGAGAAAAGCAATAGTTATAAAGGAAGGTCAGAGCAAGGAGGCAGCTGCGTTTGTCTTCCAAAATATAATAAATACCATTCAAATAGCTCCTGTTGAAGATCTGTTTCCTAAATAACAAATTATGAGAGACATGTTTCTGAAATTTTTCTTGGAGGCCAAAAACATTCCACTTATACCACTGGTCTGTTTTAATGTGACAATTCCGAATAGGTTTTGAAGCTGAACCCATACGAGCCGTTACTAGCTTAAATTACTGTATGTCACCTGTTGTTAAGGAGTTCTGGAAGCGTAGTGCCTAAGACATTTGACTGCTAACCAGAAGGCTGGTGGTTCAAACTCACCAGCCACTCCTTGGAAGGGAGGTTGGACAATCTATTTCCGTAGAGATACTGCCTCGGAAACTCAAGGAGGGGTCACTATGAGTTGAATAGACTTGAGGGCAGTGTGTGAATGAGTAGTTTCTATGGAAACAACTACATAAATACATCTTTCAGAGTTAAATCGGCATCATATTGTTGCAACACTGCGGAAATAAAACTATTTTGACAGGTTAATACGCTAAACAAGAGAAGTCTACTAAAGAGATATAATCACCTCAATTTCAACATTATAGAAGTTTAAAATAATCAGTATTTGTCAATTATGACAAAATTTAGGAAGGAAGATAATTGTTTAATTTGATTATAAGAAACAAAAAGGTTTAATTCCAATATAATTAAATATCAATGAGTTTTTAAGTTCTTTCAACAATACAACATAGTTTACAACTCAATTCTTGAAGAGAATGTATAATTACTCAGGAAAATGCATTATATGAAATAGATCCATAAAAATGTGTCAAAATTTCAAGTAACCAATGGAACTAGTTTTCATAAAATATGATATCCCAGAGACCACTGTTAAGAAAATCAATTGTTAAGAAACATTTACATGCTCAGTTTTAAAGTTTTAAACCTCACAGAACTCATAAGGAAATTGCAGGTATGAAAACATATATGAAGATATTTAGAATTATTTGAAAGAGTAACTTTATAAATTTATCAACCAGGTTGCTTGCTTATTATTATTCATTAAATAAGAGCTATTAGAGAAATAGCTAATATTTATTTGATTTTTATCATTAGGTAATAAATTACCTGTAGTAAAAATTGTATCATCCATGAAAACGTTAGGGATTTATATGAAAAATCACTCACATATGAAGGCCTAATGTTACATCTATCTATGGCTTTGTTTCTATAAAAAAATACAGTGGCTGAGAAGATGGTGGACACTGGAGGCTGTCCACCTGACTTAAGTCCCAGTTTTACCATCTTTTAGTTGTGTGACGTTGATCGAATGTCTTAAATGCTCTATCTCTCAGTTCCCCATTTGTAAAATGGTGATAAATAATACTAATAATAGCCCTCATAGTACTATAAGAAATAAGCAAGGATTATAAAAATGTGATAACATGACATTTAAAACAACTTCCCTACAAAATGCAGCATCACGGCAATGGTCAAATAAACTGTATTGGCTAATCATCTCTGATGTCTGAGTCAAAGCTTGAAAGTTTTAAAAAAAAAACCCACAAAAACCAGGAACTAGGGAGGGCCTACATTTGAGTAATATTTATTTCTCGGATCCAGCTGGTTTCTTGCCTTCTTTGTTTTACTGGTCTCCTGTCATCAGTGAACCAAGCAGAACATTGTGGTCATTAAAGCAATGAGTAGGTGGCTTTCTGAACCACTCCAGGATGTCCTGGGGAAATTCTCATATTTCTTAAGGCAAAACAAAATTACTGATTTCTTATCTGGCCAAGAATCAAGCTTGTGATTACTTGTAAATGAATCATGGTTTACTCAGAGTATGGTTTACTAGTCAGAAGATAAAATCTACCTAATGGTGCAGGAGTGAAACACATGGGAGAAACAAGTATCCTAGGGAGAGGGCTTTTGTGGACATTATACTTTCCAAATTATACCTGAGGCTTGAACTCCAAATTACTGTATTGACCCGACTATGCTATGCTCCCTCCGAAGTCCCTACGGAAAATCTTTTCCTGTTTCCCACAGGCATTCCTTGGCTTGTTTTGCATCTCTTTCCTTGGCCATTTTCCTCATGTGTATGTTCTTTTTTATAAGGACACCATTCAGATGGGATTAGTACCCACACTAATATTACACCAGTATAATCTCATGCTAATTTAACTGAAAACATTTCAAAAACCCTATTTCTGAACAAGACCATGTTGTTCACAGGTAGCAGGGGCTAAGACTTCAACATACTTGGGGTAGAGGGTACAGCGAGGAACAATTCAATCCATAACATGCCCCCTGCCAGAGTCCATTCTGACTCATAGCGACCCTATAGGGCATTGTAGAAATGTCTCAGAGGGTTTCCAAGGCTGTAAATCATTATAAGCAGCGTGCCTCATCTTTCTCCCAAGGACTGGCTGGTAGGTTTAAACCCTTGACCTTTTGGTTAGCAGCTGAATGTTTTAACCACTATGTCACCAGAGCTCCATCATAATAGATACTAATTGTAATGCAGAGCTGCCGAGACACCAGGACACGGAGTTGTTTCATAAAAGCAGTTTATTAGCGCTCCCGGGCAAGGTTCTTGTGCCCTAGCATCAAGGCCAGAGAAGTCGCACCCCCGGGCTGGGGGCATAGATTTTTATAGACATAGAGAGGACCTAATTGGGGACATCAAGGAAATGACAGAGTCCTCTAAGGAAATGGCAGGGTCCAATTAGCTATTAGCAGGGGTCTGCACTTAATTAGCATGAGGGGGCTTCACAGGAGGAAGTTTGTCATTGCATGGGACTTTCCAGCCTGGGCAGGTTCTGTCACTTCAGTTGTCTCATCAGGGCCTGACACCTGGAGGAAGCTGCCAACTGACATATTGGGGCTTGGGTTTGCTTCGGCCTGACATTAATGACCAAAAGCATGGACTTCAGAGGTGACTGCTTTCTTCATTTGAATCCCAGCCCTGCCATTCACTTACTTTGAGCAAGTAATTTTACAACTCTGTGCCTTGGTTTCTCCTTCTGTAAAATTAGGATAGTAGTTCACCATGAGTTGGAAGTGACTCAACTACAACGTGTTTTTGCTATTTATCTCACTAGGATTGTGTGAGTATTAAGTATTATGTGAGTATTAAGTATTACAGCCCTTAGAACAGTGACTGGCACATGTTGTTATTGTTGTTAGCTGCTATTGAGTGAGCTACATAGAGACCCTTTGTACAACAGAATGAAACACTGCCCAGTCCTGCACCATCCTCACAATCCTTGTTTTATTTGAGCCCATGGTTGCTGCCACCATGTCAATCCATCTTGTTGAAGGTATACCCCTTTTTCACTGATCCCCTACTTTGTTGTTGTTGTTAGGTGTCATCGAATTGGCTGTGACTCATTGTGACCTTATGTACAACAGAACCAAACACTGCCCAGTAGTGTGTTATCCTTACAATATGCAGATGGCACAGCCTTGCTTGCTGAAAGTGAAGATGACTTGAAGCCCTTACTGATGAAGATTAAAGACCATAGTCTGCACTATAGATTACTCCTCAACATAAAAAAAAGAAAAAACCAAAATCCTCACAACTGGACTAATAAGCAATATCATGATAAATGGAGAAAAGAATCAAGTTGTCAGGCATTTAATTTTACTTGGATCCATAATCAACACCCATGGAAGCAGAGGTCAAGAAATCAAACTATTGCACTGGGCAGGCTGCAAATGACCTCTTTGAATTGTTAAAGAGCAACATCGTAACTTTGAAGACATAGGTACATCTGACCCAAGCCATGGTATTTTCAGTAGCCTCATACACATGTGAAAGCTGGACAATGAAGAGTTGGTGCCTTGAATTGTGGTGTTGGTGAAGGATACTGGAAATACCATGGACTGCCAAAAGAACTAACAAATCTGTCTTGAAAGAAGTAGAGCCAGAATGCTCTTTAGAAGTGAGAATGGACTGGCTTCCTCTTACTACTTTGGTCATGTTGTCCAAGGGACCATTCCCTGGAGAAGGATGTCATCCCTGGTAAAGTAGAGGGTCAGCACAAAAGGGGGAGAGAACGATTGACACAGTGGCTGCAACAGTGGGCTCAAACATAGCAAAGGTTGTGCACAGGACCAGGCAGTGTTTTGCTCCATTGTATATGGGGTCACTGTGAGTTGGAGGTGACTTGATTGAACCTAACAACAACAAAGGATGTGACACATCCCTGGGGTTATGATGTCACCCTATCCCTTCTCCTTTGGTAATATTATCACTTTAACATGTTCATTATTCATCACTATTTTAATTTTCATTGTGATTTGAGTGAAAGTTTACAGAATAAATTGGGTTTCCATTCAACAATTCATACACATTTTGTTTTGTGACATTCACTGCAGTCCCTACAGTGTTAACAGCACTTTTACCAATTCCTCTCTGTCTACCATTTCCTTTCATTCTTCTTTTGTACGTTTTTGTGCTCTCCCTTTATCCCTGGACAAATGCTGCCCTTTTGATCTTACATGGTTGTATGTTCTAATGAGTGCATACCACCACGGTATTATAGTTCACCTTCAAAGACTTATCTGTCATTTGGCTGAAAGTTGAGTCACGGGGGTGAGTTCAGTTCCAGGCCAAGGGCCATAGACTTGGGCATTCTACCAGTGTCTATTAAAACAGCAAGCCTGGTCTTTTTATGATTTTTACTTTTGTTCCACATTTTTCTCCCCCCACACCATCTGGGAACTGCCATTGCTATTCCTTTCAGAGTGGTCAGCAGTAGTAGCTAGGTACCATCCAGTTCTTCTGGTCTCAGGGTCGTGAAGGCTGGAGTTTACATGGTCCATTAGTCCTCTGGACTAAGTGTTTCCTTGTGTCTTTGATTTTCTTCACTCTTCTTTCCTCTGGACAGGGAGAGACCAATCGTTGCACCTGAGATGGATGTTCACAAGCTTTTAAGACCCCAGTTGCTACTCACTAAAGTAGGAGGTAGAACATTGTCTTTGTGGACTATGCTAAGCCAATTGAGCTTAGTGTCCCCAGAGACCATGGTCCTGCTTCCTTATGCCCAGCAACTCATTCTGTGAAGGTATTTGGCTATGACTAAGAAGTTTGCAAAACTTTGTCCCCTGTATGCTCTACTACATTCATGGATATATTTGCAGCACATATAAATACATACATATTCACTTATAGTTTTATTGGTATTTTTGTTATTACTTTTATTTCAGGGTTATATATGTAATAGTATTTACCTTTATTGCCTTTTACTCCTCCCAGTTCCTTTCTCTGCCTTAATTAACATGCTAATTATTGCCTTTTATTACAGTTACAACAGTATATCAACAAGGAACTTCCAGAAATTCAAGCTGGATTCAGAAGAGGACATGGAACAAGGGATATATTGCTGATGCCAGATAGATCTTGGCTGACAGCAAAGAATACCAGAAAGATGTTTACCTGTGTTTTATTGATTATACAAAGGCATTTAACTGTTTGGATCATAACAAATTATGGATAACATTACGAAGAACAAGAATTCCTTAACACTTAATTGAGCTCATGAGGAACCTATACATAGACCAAAGGCAATCATTTGAACAGAACAAGGGGATAGCAGAACAAGTGTAGCTTAAAATGAGGTAAGGTGTGCGTGAAGGTTATTGTATCCTTTCACAATACTTATTCAATCTATATGCTGAACAAGTAATCCCAGAAGCTGGACTATATGAAGAACGTGGTATTAGGACTGTAAGAAGACTAATTAACAACCTGCAATATGCAGATAACATAACTTTGCTTGCTGAAAGAGAACACTTGAAGTACTTACTGATGAAGATCAAAAACTGCGGCCTTTGGTATGGATTATACCTCAACATAAAGACAACAAAAATCCTCACAACTGGACCAATAAGCAAAGAACCATCATGATAAATGAAGAAAAGATTGAAGTTGTTGGGATTTCATTTTACTTGGATCCACAATCAATGACCATGGAAGCAGCAGTCAAGAAAATCAAATGATGTATTGCATTCGGCAAGTCTGCTGCAAAAGATCTCTTAAAAGTATTTAAGAATGAAGGCGTCACTTTGAAGGGTAAGATGTTCCTGACCCAAGCCATGGTATTTTCAATAGTCTCATATGCATACAAAAGCTGGATGATGAATCAGGAAGACAGCAGAAGAATTGATGCATTTGAATCGTAGTGTTGGCAGAGAATATTGAAGGTATTATGGACTGCCAAAAGAACAAATCTGTCGTGGAGGAAGTACAGAAAGAAGGCTCTTTAGAAGCAAGAATGGCTAGACTTAGTCTCTGATACTTTGGTCATGTTGTTGAAAGGACCAGTCCTTGGAAATATCGTGATTGGTAGAGGGCCAGTGAAAAAGGGGAAGACCCTCAACAAGAGGGATGAATACATTTGCTGTCACTATGGCTTCAAGCAAGCATGGCAATGTTGACAAGGATGGTGCAGGACCTGGCAGTGTTTCATTCTGTTGTATATGGTATTGCTATGACTCGACAGCTCTGGTGGCGTAGTGCCTAAGGCATTTGACTGCTAACCAGAAGGCTGGCGGTTCAAACCCACCAGCCACTGCTTGGAAGGAAGATTGGGCAATCTACTTCCATAGTGATACTGCCTTGGAAACCCAAGGAGGGGTCACTGTGACTCGGATCTGACACTATGGTAGTGAGTTTGGTTTGGTTTGTGATTCGACAGCACCTAAAAACTTTATTACCTCTCAGGAAGATAATTTCTAAAGCTTAACCAATAGCCCAGGCCTCTCCAGGGAGCTCCAGACCATATGTGGACATGGATGTTCCTCAAGCATTTCAGACCTTATTTGCAGAATGGAAACTTATCTTCATTTCTTCATAACTTCTTTTCTGCCTGTGTTTTCCTTGTCACATCAACTTTGACTCATCTCTTCCAGTCAGCTTTCATAGCAATCACCAAAATGTACTGATTAGAATTCACAATAAATTTTGAATAAATCCTCTCCTCTCCATTTTTCCTACCACTTCACGGTTCTCAATTACAGTAACCTTGTAACAGGTCCTGCCACTTTCTAAAATGACTTTCTGAAATCAATACTACACATTATTTAGCTAGCATACAGTAGAATGAAGTACTGATACACGCTACAATGTGATGAACACTGAATAATATAAAACTCACTGCCATTGAGTCAGATTGGACTCATTGCAACCCCTCCTTGGGTTTCCGAGGTGGTGTCATAACGGAAGTAGATTGCCAAATCTTCCTTCCCAGCAGTGGCTGGTGGGTTTGAACTGCCAGCCTTCTGGTTAGCAGTCAAATGCCTTAGGCACTATGCTACCAGAGTTCCTGCTGACTAATATATAAGGAATGAATATACCACATTTTGTTTATCCATTCATCGGTTGATAGACATTACGTTATTTCTAGTTATAGGCTATTATGAATAATGCTGCTATGAACATATATGTGTTCATTTTTGCTCTTTCATGAATGATTTTCTCCTCTTCCTAAAAGGAAAGGCTTTTGATGGTCTTAAGTTGATAAATCTAAAGTTCCATCCGGGAACGTACAGTATTTAAAGCAAGAACTCTTTGGGCTGTTGTTTTCTCTCAACTCTTCTTCTGATAACTAATTTCCTGGCTCCTTTATTGGTTGCCTTTTGTCTAATGGCTTCTTGAAGGTATTGGCGGTGCTTTTTAGGGAAGTATTCTTATTTTAGAGCGTAAGGAGAGGAGTCCTTCTCCAAGGTGAAATATGTTTGATAGAGGACTTAGTGAGGGGAGGAGATGGAGTCTAGCCTTACAGACATCAAGTTCTATTTTGTTCCTGCAACAAGTGGAGCATTCCTTGTACAGCAAAAACCTCATCAACCAAATAGCCTGAAAAGAGAAGTCCCTGAAAAGATTTGGATATACAAGCCAGTAGGCTGGAAGCACTAGAAGCACCTGCCCCGCCAGCCAGGGCAGTCTAATTCCCTAATCCCCAGAGTTTGGGCAAACAGCGCAAAGATTAAGAGACTCACGCCGGCCACGCGCCTGCGCAGGAGGAACAGGTGCGCACCCGTCGTGACTTCCCGCGCATCTTTATGCACTGCCTCCCGTGCGCAGGCGCCAAAAGCTGCCGTCGTGCCGTCGTGCGGCGCGACGCGACGCTGTGCGTTATGGAGCAGCGGGCAGGCATGGCGGCGGGCACCGTGCGCGGCCTGGCAGTGGCCGGTGGAGGCGAGAGTAGCGAGAGTGAGGATGACGGCTGGGAGATTGGGTATCTCGACCGGGCATCTCAGGTAGCGTGGGAGGACTTGGCTACACCTGGGGTCACCCTTTCTTAACCCTCAACGGCGTGGCCTGTGTGAAACTGCTTACTTCCACCCCTGTGTTGCCCAAATCTTTATCCGCGCAAATAATGAGCGTTTGGACCCCCAGCAGACACTCAGAATTTTCCTCGTGTTCCTGAACTGTGGTTTCGGCCAAATGCGCTTCCAGTACAGAAGCACATTTCTGTCCTGCCCCGCTATTAGGTTGGTGGGTGGGAAGCGGAGCTGGCGTTTCCAGGCCTCGCCTGCCCAGGTGGAGAGCTTAAGCCTTTCGTGGCGCTTTTCAGCGGGCTTTGGACCCGTCATTGCCCGTTCCCTGTAAAAATTATTTTAGGCGTAAATTCTTTGCATACTTTGCTAGCAAAAAAAGAAAAAGAGTTATGTACTTAACCAAACGTTGTTGATTATTGTTTCCCGATGCAGTGAAAATGAAAATACAGTAACAAGAATTTCTTTTAAACTTTCTGCTTCTTTAGAAATTAACAAGGCCGTTACCCGCTGAAGAAAAGAATGAAATATTTAAGAAAGCGTTGACCACAGGAGATATTTCGTTGGTTGAGGAGCTCCTAGATTCTGGTGAGAGATAGGGGCATAAGTTAGTTTCAGCTGTACCCAGTGTTCTAAGTTCACAAGGATTCCTCATTTTAATCGGCTTATGTTGTTTTTCAAATGGAAGCATGTATCAGATGTGCCTTATGTCTTATTCTTGACTCTGAGCTCTTGTCTGCCTTACTTCTTCCTTCTCTTCTCAAATTTGGAATGCTACCCTAATTACCTTCCATCCATTCTTCTACCTTCTTCAGGAGGCATATTCTGACTAACCCTTCCTCAGCCTCATAGCTCTAATTTTCTCAGTATTTACTTACTGTGATATCACTATGGAGTGCCTGGGTGGCACAAACAGTTAAGCACTTGAGTTACTCGAAGGTTGATGGTTCCAGCCCACCCAGGAGGTACCTTGTAAGACCGTTCTGGTCCACTCTGCAACACATGGACCTACTGTGAGTTGGAATCTACTGGGCAACTGTGGGTTTTGGGTTTTCTTGTTTCTTTTTTTTTTTTGTACTATTATATGTTCTTTAAGAATTGTTTCATTCTTAGCTGTTATTCTTATCTGAGAAGGAGCTATGTGACTTTGAATAAGTTCTGAATACTTACTATGAACATATGCAGGAGTGTGCTTAATGTTGGATGGGGTGGAATAGGCCGAAATTTCTTTTAGAAAAACAAAGAGTTGTCTTTGGAGTACTGGAAATAGGTACAACATACATAATGGAGGCTCTTAAAAGATTGTTGTTGTTGTTGTTGTTTGCCATCGAGTCGGCCCCGACTCAGCGACCCCTCCTTGGGTTTCCGAGGCAGTATCACTACGGAAGTAGGAATGCCCAACCTTCCTTCTGAGGAGTGGCTGGTGGGTTTGAACCGCCAGCCTTCTGGTTAGCAGTCAAGTGCCTTAGCCACTATGCTACCAGAGCTCCTCTTAAAAGATTAGGACTTGATAGATTGATGGACAGTCATTGGGTTTTCCAGTTTCTTGAATAGAGCATACTACAAAGTAGGTATTTAGTCAACTTTTGATATTTGTTTTTAATTTCAAATAAAATAAAGCTCACTTTTAAAAGGACACTAATAAATTTATGGGTGTAAGTAGAAAGATATCTTACTTTTGTTCCTACTCATAAGTAGTCTCCCCACCTGCTGTCCCACTCTGAACAGTGTTTATAATACAGATACAATGATGTTGCTCTCATGCTCACGCAGTATGGTCTACATTTCTTAACAGAGTTTTCATAACTTCACCTTAACCCATCTTTTAGCCTTATGTTTTGCCAGACACCTATGAATAAGTTTTGCATTGTTGTTGTTGTTAAGTGCCGTCAAGTTGAATCTGACTCATACCAACCACTCTTTGGGTTTCTGAGGCAGTATCACTGTGGAAGTAGATTGCCCAACCTTCTTTCCGAGGAGTGGCTGGTGGGTTTGAACCACCAGCTTTCTAGTTAGCAGTCAAGTGCCTTAGGCACTATGCTACCAGAGCTCCTAAGTTTTCCGTAGGGAAGGAAATTAAGGGAGTCTTTTCCTCAAATATGTGATATTTGCAACCATAAACATATATGATGTTGCCCAGGGATAATGTACTTAAAAAAACTTTCTATCTGTCTGAAACTTATCCCACCTTCCCTAAAGATAAAAAATGTAGCGTGTAAAAACATGTTATAGTTTATGTAGTATATGATAAAACATGGGAGCTCTGGTAGCGTAGAGCTTAAGGCACTGACTGCTAATCAGAATGCTGGTGGTTCAAACCTTGCTATACCTGAGCCCATCATTGCAGCCACTGTGTCAAGTCCATCTCATTGAGGGCCTTCCGCTTTTTCCTTGACCCTCCACTTTATCCAGCACTATATCCTTCTTCAGGGAATGGTCCCTTCTGACAACATGACCAAAGTAGGTGAGATGAAGTCTGGCCATTCTTGCTTCCAAGGAGCATTGTGGCCGCATTCCTTCAGGACAGATTTGTTAATTCTTCTGGCAGTCCATGGTACTTTCAGTATTCTTCACCAACACCCTGACTCAAAAGCATCAACTCTTCTTTGGTCTTCCTTATTCATTATCCAGCTTTCACAAGCATATGAGGTAATTAAAAACACCATGGCTTGGGTGGTGGTTGTTGTTGTTGTTAAGTGCCGTCGAGTCGTTTCCAACTCATAGCGACCCCATGCACAGCAGAACGAAACACTGTCCGATCCCGCGCCAGCCCCATAATCCCTGCTATACCTGAGCCCATCATTGCAACCTCCGTGTCAATCCATCTCGTTGGCTTGGGTTAGGGGTACGTTAGTCTTCAAAGAGACATCTTTGCTCTTCAGCAATTTAAAGAGATCTTTGCAGCAGATTTGCCCAGTACAATATGTCATCTGATTTCTTGACCACTGCTTCCATTGGTGTTGATTGTGGAACCAAGTAATATTAAATCTTTGACAACTTCAGTCTTTTCTCCATTTATTGTGCGGATGCTTATTGGTCCACTTGTGAGGATTTTTAGCCTCAGAAACCCAATGGGGAAGTTCTAGTTAGTACTGTGGGATCTCTGTGAGTCAAAATTGACTTGATGGCAGCGAGTTAACTAACCTAAAGTGTGGAGATTCAAACCCACCCAGCAACATTGCTGCAGAAGAAAGGCCTAACAGTCTTGTTTTCATAAAAATAACAGCCAAGAAAACCCTATGGAGCAGATCTATTCTGTAACACATGGGGTTGCTATGAGTTAGAATTGACTCAACAGCAAATGAGTTTGGTTTCTTTGTTTTAGAAGGGATTAGAATTAAGACCTACTCTATTCCCTTATGACCTCCTTTAATTTAACTGATAAAAGAAAAACCCTATTTCTCCAAGCAAGTTACCTTCACAGGTACAGGGATTAGGACTTTAACTTATCTTTTTTGGGGACACAGTTCAATCCTTAAGAGTCACTATGTCCAGTACTTTAAACATTATGGTGACAGTGATTTTTTTGAAGGAGGTGTTAAATGTTTGTTTTTATGTTGACAGGCATTAGTGTAGATTCCAACTTTCGGTATGGATGGACACCCCTTATGTATGCTACTAGTGTTGCCAACATAGAGCTGGTCCGGGTCCTTTTGGACAGAGGAGCTAATGCAAGCTTTGAAAAGGGTAAGATGTTTGCAGTAACTTAACTGATTATGTTTACTGTGATTTTCTTGACTCCCAAGAAACTATTATACAAAGTTAAAGAAATTAGTTTTTTTTAAAAAAATCCTATTTGTTATTTTTTATAGATAACATGTAGAATCAAATTAGAAGCCATAGTTAGAAAAACTTTTTTCCTCAAAGAAGCGTATTCCAGCTATATTCTGATTATGTTACATACCTTTAACTTCTGTGCTCAACTGCTAGCCAAAAGGTTAACAAGTTCTAACCTACACAGAGGTGCCTCAGAAGACACTTTGGGTGATCTGTTTCTGAAAGGGCAGCCTGGGAAAACTATGGAGCACTTCTTCTCTGCACAAATGGGGGCCCTGTGTATCAGAATTGACTCAGTGGCAACTTACCAAGAACTATTTCTAGTTAATTGACAAAGCCAATTATTATAATGAAACGTACAAAGACCTGGAGTTAGAAAACTCCAGGGAAGAACAAGCTCGGCATTTCTGAAGCTGAAAGAACTGAAAAAAGAATTTAAGCCTTGAGTGGCAGTGTTGAAAGATTCTATGGGGAAAACAGGAGTTCTGGTGGCATACTGCCTGAGGTATTTGACTGCTAACCAGAAGGTTGTCAGTTCAAACCCACCAGCCGCTCCTCAGAAGGAAGATTGGGCAATCTACTTCTGTAGCGATACCACTTCAGAAACCCAAGGAAGGGTCGCTATGAGTTGGATCTGACTGCATGGCAGGGAGCAAAGCATGCATGGACAAAACCTTGAATGATGCAGGAAACATCAAAAGAAGATGAAAGGAATACATAGAGTCATTGTACCAAAAAGAATTGGTCAGTGTTCTTCTGTTTCAGGAGGTGGCATATGATCAAGAACCGATGGTACTTGTTTTGGTTACCTAGAGCCACTCTGACAAGAATATACCACAAATGGGATGCTTGAACAAACAGGAGTTTATTCTCACGGTTTGGAGGCTTTAAGTCTGAGTTCAAAGTGCCAGACTCTAGGGGCTGGGTGAAAGCCCCTCAACCTTGGGCTTCAGCTCTGCCTCCTGCTCCTGGCCCACTAGAAGCTAGAGGCGTTTCTTCACTTAGACATGTGCTGGCTACTGAGAATGACAAGCCCAAGGCTGACAAGTAAAAAGAGACACAGTCCCAATGTTACCAAACCACACGGCTGGCCATTAATTCAAGTCCTTTGAAAGTCCCAAGGTCGGCAGAGCATGGCAAGTTGCTGAACAACGACACAGCTACATGCAGGGTTCAAGCATGCCACGGGCTAGAGACCATTCCCAAAGCTGCTGCTTATATACGGAAAGTGGACCACATCCCTAAAGCAGCTAGCTACTCAGCTTCTTGTGGTAGATCCCACCATGGAGCTGATTGCCAGTCTCATCATGGGGAATAACTACCATCAGCTGCCCAGCCACTCAACCAGGCCCAACAAAGTTGACATACAACTTTAACTACCATAGTACTGAAGGAAGAAGTTGAAGCTGCACTGAAAGAATTGGCAAAAAACAAGTCTCCAGGAATTGACATAATACCCATTGAGATGTTTCAACAAATGGATGCCACACTGGAAGCACTCACTTGGTGATGCCAAGAGATTTGGAAGACAGCTACCTGGCCAACTGACTGGAAGAGATCCATATTTGTACCCATTTCAAAGTAAGGTGATCCCACAAAATGTGGAAATTATCAAACAATATCATTAATATCACATGCAAGTAAAATCTTACTGAAATTATCAAACAATATCATTAACATCACATGCAAGTAAAATCTTACTGAAGATAATTCAAAAATGGTTGCAGCAGTATATTGACAGAGAGCTTCCAGAAATGCAAGCTGGATACAGAAGAGGATGTGGAATGAGGGGTAACTTTCCTGATGTCAGATGGATCTTGGCTCAAAACAAAGAATACTGGTGTTTTTATACTTGTGTTTTATTGACTACGCAAAAGCAATCAATTGTGTGGATCATAAAAAATTGTGGATAACATTGAGAAGAATGGGAGTTCCATAATACTTGATTGTACTCCTGAGGAGCCTGTACATAGACCAAGATGCTGTCATTCGAACAGAACAAGGGGATACTGGATGGTTTAAAATCAAGAAGGGAGTGCATCAGGGTTGTATCCTTTCACCATACTTACTCAATCTGTATGCTGAGCAAATAATCCAAGAAGCTGGACTATATAAAGAAGAAAGTGGCATCAGGATTGGAAGAAGACTCATTAACAACCTGTGATTTGCAGAAGACACAACTTTGCTTGCTGAAAGTGAGGACAACTTGAAGCACTTACTGATGAACATTGAAGACTATAGTTTGCAGTGTGGATGACACCTCAATATAAGAAAACAAAATTCCTCACAACTGGACCCATAAGCAGCATCACGGTAAACGGAGAAAAGGTTAAAGTTGTCAAAGACTTCATAGTACTTGATTCTCCAATCAACACCAACGGAAGCAGCAGTCATGACATCAGACGACTTATTACATTGGGCAAATGTGCTGCAAAAGACCTCTTTCAAGTGCCAAAGAGCAAAGATGTGTCCTTGAAGGCTAAGGTTTACCTATCCCAAGCCATGGTATTTTCGTTTGCCTCTTTCGCATATGAGAACTGGACAGTGACTAAGGAACACTGAAGAAGAGTTGATGCTTTTGAGTTGTGTTGTTGACGTAGAATACTGAAAGTACCATGGACTGCTAAAAGAACTAACAAATGTATCCTGGAAAAAGTACAGCCAGAATGCTCCTTGGAAGCGAGAAGGGTCAAACTTCGTCTCACCTGCTTTGGTCATGTTGTCAGAAGTAACCATCCCCTGGAGATCATGCTTAGTAAAGTGGGTCGTCAATGAGAAAGGGGAAGGCCCACAACAAGATGGATTGAGACAAACAATTTCAAAAAAAGGAAATTTTTGAAAAATAAGATGATATCCTCAAAAAATTCACATTTTTAGTAGTTTTGTTTTTACTTCTTGTAATCAGTTACAGTTATATATAAAAAGCACCAGATATTTTTCATAGCACAATCACATTCAATCTTTCATAAATCCCTTAATAGCTCCATTTGGTGAGGAGGACAGGTGGGTTCAAACCATTGACCTTTTGGTTAGCAGTCAAATGCCTTAACCACTATACCACCTGTGCTCCTTATAAATTAGAACTAACATAAAAAGGCATCACTGGAGTCACAGTTTATTAGTGGCAGAGATGACAGAATCTTTATCTTCTTGTTTCATCATTATTGAACCATTAATCTAAACCATGGTTGTGACCTATTTTGAATTCCTTGCTTCCTGTTTGAGAAGTTCTTGTTTTTTGAATCTAGTATAATCTCTGCTGATGCCATAAGAGCCAAGAGAGTTTTAGGAAAAAACGTGTGTTCAGAGAGATCAAGTAGGAAAAGGACTGAAAAGAAACCAATGTACAGGATAGTTAGATCAGTTTCAATAGGGTGATTTGGGCATAAACCAAATTTCAGTGAGTTGTGGAATGAATGGGAAGTAAAGAAGTGAAACTAGAGAATATAGATCATTTTTTTTCTAAGGATGAGTTCAACAATGCAAATTTTAATCAACCTAACACTGAATCCTGGCAGTGCAGGCATACTTCATTTTGTTGTACTTAGCAGATACTGCGATTTTCGCTAATTGAAGGTCATGGCAGCCTTGCATCAAGCAAGTGTATCAGCACCATTTTTCCAACAGCATGTGTTCACTTTGTGTCTCTGTCACATTTGGTTAATTCTCAGAATATTTTAAGGTTTTTTTAATTACACAGGTAAATAGACTATAGTGTAAACATAAAGATAAGGCAGTCTGCATCTGTAGAGATTACAGCCTTGAAAACCCTGTGGGGCAGTTCTACTCTGTCCTCTAGGGGTACTGTGAGTTGGAATCAGCTCTGTGGCAGTGGGTTTGTATTTTGGGGTTTTGGAGACCAAAAAATTTGTGTGACTTGCTTTATTGTGATATTTGCTTTATTGCAGTGATCTGGAACCAAACCCGAGTTATCTCTGAGGTATCCCTGTGTACTTTACAGAGCCCATGCTCTTTGTTGCACTCTTTTTCTCTTAAAGAAATGGGATCAATGGCATAAGTGGTAGAATGAGGCCTGAATAGGAAGTTAAGAAACGAATTGTAGATATAGGTACTTTGGAAATTAAAGGGAAGAGGTATTTATACTTGATCTCATTTTCTTGGTGAAGGAAGACATAACATTATCTGCTAAGAGTGGGAACTTTGGTTGTAGAATTTTAGGAGTGCAGTAATGATTTAGAATGTTTCAAATGGTAAAAGCTGATCAGATGTACTCCTTGATGTGTACTCCTTGATGTCCGGTTTTTTCCTCTCGCCTTTTTGTTCACTGCAGATAAACAGACTGTTTTGATAACTGCGTGTTCTGCTCGTGGCTCACAGGAACAGGTCTTGAAGTGTGTAGAGCTCCTGCTTTCAAGAAACGCTGACCCAAATGTTGCTTGTAGGTAAGAACTTTACTATTCGTTCAGAAGTATTGAAGGTACTTCTTATTATTAGCCAGTTAAACATTGGCTAGCATGGTACATTTCTTTATAAAAATCATGAACAATGTATATTTATTTGACCAAATTGTTGATGAATGTAAATACGTCATAGGCCATGATTCAAGTTGTGTAAGATTATCAAAGGAATGGCATATCATAAAGCAGTCTTTTACCTTTTAATTTTTAGAGGAATGTCATAAATATTTGAAATGTAAAGGAAAGGAAGATAGGTTTTCACCTTTTAATTTTTAGAGGAATGGCATAAGAATTTGGAATGAGAAGGAAAGGAGGACAATGAACTGTTTAATTTCCTCTGCATCATATACTCAATATAATTATTGAGCTATTGTAGTAAAGCATTTTAATGTAGTGTCTCTCTGTAAAACATTTACCAATAAATAGTTTTACACAAATACTAAGAATTCCAAAATAGTAAGTAGAAATATTTCCATTTTCCTAAGATTTCATAACTTAATTAGTGATACCATTTGTGAAATGTCAGTAATAATAAAAATAAATTAGATTGCTCACATTTTTCATCACATTGACTTCCTTCTTACCTGGCTACATCTTCCTATTAAATCTTTTTGCTCTATTTAATCTTCAAATTGAAGGCAGTTGCCCATTCAGTAGAAGTAGGTATAACATGAATAGACTTTTTCATTCATAATTCTCTCATTCAAATATTATTAATAGATCCTGTTGTCTTATATATATGTAAGTAACTGTAATTGCCGCCCAAGGTTTTTCGATTTGGTTAGTTCTTATGGTACTGGACAGTAGCCTTGGAAGGTACTAGACAGCTTTAGATTATTCCCAGATCTTTTTTGAGATACAGAGATTTTGATCTAGTAAAGTGGTCCTCGACCAAGGTCTGTTTTGCTTCCCAGGTGATACTTAAAAGTGTTTGGAGAGATTTTTTGTTGTCATATCTGGGGAATGTTCCTGGCTTCTAGTGGTTAGAGGCCAGAGATGCTGCTAAATATCCTACCGTGTACAGGTCAGTCTCCACAACCAAGACTTACCCACCCCAGGTTGTCAGTAGTGCCAAGGTTGCGAAACTCTTACTAGTGTGAGAAATGTCAAGGCTCATAGAGGAGCTACTCAGGATTTAACAGATAAAGATAAAAAAAAAGTTGTAAAAAATGCTGCAGATTTTTAACAAATCAATTCACAGGAACTTCTATTCTGTTATGTTGGATATCATGCCTGGGCAGTTACAATTTTGAGATCTGGTTATACCTGGGATTTAGGACATACTGTTGAAGTAAACTTCCAAACATTCTGTGGTTTTGATTTGTAACATTCTCACTGCAGCTGTATCTAACATATGGTTAAATTCATCAGTTAAGGTTTCAGTGTTGTTATTTTTTAATGATTTCTAGAATTCTGAATGATTTTTTTATGTTAGCAGTGTTACTTTTTATAGCTTCTCAATCCTTGGAATATTTTCAAGCTTTAAATTGAAAGCTTCTTTAATACAATAAACAGTCTTGGTAGAACAGTTGCAGTATCTGAAATCTTCGAGGGTTTGTTTCTGGTAGCAGTAGTTTCTCATAGTTCTCACTCATGACTAAGTGCTAATCATTAGATTAAAAAACTTACCTGGAGGGATAATAAGGCCAAGGTTAATCCACCACAGAGGATTTTTGTGTATTTCTAACAGGTGTGTGTGGGGCACCTTCCGTGCAGAACTCATTTCTTCTAAGTTCAAGGGTTGGGGTCCCTGGACCATCTTGGTGATGTAAACCTGAGCTGTAAGAACTAGTTTACTTCTGGTTCATCTTTCCCTGAAGATACAGCCCTTTGGGTCCCATCTTAATGTGTCTTAACTATGGGTTATGATGCTCTTTATTTGTATAGGCCCAGGCCTTTGACTTTTATTCCTTAATGTTCAAGGCCTGGAAAGTCACAGTTTATTTTCCTATTGGGTACTTCAGGATTGGCAAATCCCTCAAGGAAAAAGTAAGTATAAGCACTGAGTTTACTTCTCTGGGTTTTTGCCTTCTAAATTTTGGTTATGTTGTTCCTCTGTATCTTAATTCTTCAGTTTTTAAGAAAATTTTCAAAAATTTCTCCCAGTTTTTTATATGTCTTCACACATTTGGCTCAAATTACCTGCCTTACCATTATTAGAACTGGAAAGCACTATCTTCAAAATTTTGAAAATGTTTATTTACTTATGTATCTTCCTTTAATACTGCCATTCTTTGTTTTCTATGTAAACTTCTTGTGTCTCGCTGATCTTTGGAAATAGCATTGGCTTAATATTTCACGGACAGCTTTCCATGTTAGTATATACAGTAGTACCTTGTTATCTACAGGGGCTATGTTCCAAAACCCCCAATAGATGCCTGAAACTGTGGATAGCACCAAACCCTGTATATACTATGTTACCTTGAAAGTCATTTAAAAATTAACTTTCTAGACCAAATCACATCTTAGGTTTGTTTCTCTTGGATCCTGCTAATGACAGTACTTAGCGTAGGGCACATTGTGTAGTGAGTAAGAGAGTTTAATACTAGTTTATTTTGGCTTTAGAGTTTGTTTCTGGGGTTAAGTTTGTTTTTTTAAGTTTTTTTCCTAAATGATACAAGTACTGAATATTTGCTGTGTCCCAGGCACTGTATCAGTTGCTGTCAAATATGTTGTTTAACCCTTACAACTAAATGGTAGATAGTACCATGTTAATTTTACTGGTCAGAAAATTGAGATTCACGTATTTAAATGCTTTTGATGTACCAGAGGTCTTGTTTGTGTTTTGTATATGTGTGTGGTGGTTATTTTTTTGAACATTTTATTGTGGTTTGGGTGAAAGTTTACAGGGCAGGTAAGTTTCCCATTCAACAATTTATACACATTTTGTTTTGAATTAGTTGCTATCCCCGCAGTGTAATCGCACTCTTCTCGCTTCCTCCCTGGATTCCCTGTATGTATTTGCCCCTTTTTCCAACCCCTTCATCCCTTCTGAACTTCTGTGGGTGCAGGTGCTGCCCTTTTGGTCTCATACGGTCGATTGTTCTGAAGAGCACGTTCCTTAAAAGTGTTATTGTTCACTTTCCATCTATAGTTTGGCTGAAAGGTGACCTCTGGGAGTGGATTCAGTTCCAGGTTTGAAGGGTGTCTAAGGGCCGTAGTCTTTGGGGTTCTGCCAGTCTCTCTCAGACCAGAAAGCGGTCTATTTTTATGATTTTGTATTTTATTCTATGTTTGTGATCTTATCAGAGCAGTTGGTAGTGGTAGATGCTATAGCACCGGTTTGGCAAAAACATTTACAACAGTTTAATCTGAACAAGATCCACATTGGAATGTATTCTGTTCCTCATCTGTTCTATCTGTATTTATAGTTTTTTTCAACACAAGCCCATTTAAACAGCTTTGTAGTTTAGTACACGTTTTTATACTTCCCCCCTGCCCTTTCCCTAAATTATAATAGGTAGGTGAGTATTTTGACTTAAAATGTCCACAGGGATGTATATAAACAGAAAACTCTTACTGATTAATTCATCTCAATCATGTTTGGGCCTGAAAACAAGGTGGCCTGCACTCAGTTGAACTGGAACTGGGCAGTGTGCATGGTATGGGCTTGCCATCTTTATTTTCCTTTGTATATTTATAATGAAATTAAGAAAATGATAATATAAATTAGTAAAGCTCAAAATGGGAGCTTTGATGGCATAGTGTCTAAGGGATTTGAGTGCTAACCGGAGACTGGTGGTTCAAACCCACCAGCCACTCCTCGGAAGGAAGGTTGGGCAATCTATTTCCATAGTAATACCTCCTTGGAAATCCAAGGAGGGGTTGCTGTGAGTTGGGTC